AATCACAATTTGAATGTGGTCCAAAAGCAACTTTTGGTCCTTAATCAATTGCCACAAATTTTAGTATTAGACGAAGCACCAATAATGTGTAACCATCTGTTTTAGATTGTGCCAAAATCTCACTGAAAGTATGCCTTCTTCTAGAATAAGCTTCTCAGCAGGAATTAACAAAAAAAAAATTAGTCACTCTTCTTCACTATAGGGCTGGTATATTTAATAAGGAATGTGGCAATTTAGTTTATTCTGCTTCAAAGCAAGTTGTCAGTTGTAAGTTATTCTACTGACATTTTGGTCTGAGCCAGGCACTGGCTTTGCTCTACCAGAAATAACTTTTTGATAAATCCCATTGCCTCTTCTGCTTGACTTGACTTACATAAATCAGTGTCCAGTGTCACAGCTAAGTACCTGCTCAGCTATAAAGTCTTTCATTTGGGTTAGGAAAGAGGACCTATACTTAACTCAGAATTCTCAGCTAACAGGCAATTTCAGCAACACTTAGGTGACATTCAGTCGGAAGACGGCACCTCTTAAGATTGTGGGGGGCCCACACTTCCTAAGAAAGTTCTTTCGTGAAGCAAAAAGTCCATGGCTGTAACTTGTGGATAAAGATTCCACAGTGAATCTGCATTTATTATTATTTTTTTAATTCAGCAGTATTAAGCGACTGTGGATCAGGACTGTGCCAGGAACGGCCACTCAGAGACAATTAAGACATAGATTCTGGTTCTGAGGAGCTCTCTGTCTGGCAGGCGACATGGGTGTGTGTGAAGAATGGATGGCATATATAAAATTACAACACAGGGACAAATGCTACAGCAGAACTAAGTTCAAAATGAAATGGAATCACTAAGAGTGGCGTAATCTTCAGAGGTGCTCAGGGAAGGCGTCACAGAAACTATTTTTGCCGAGCCTGGGACAATAAAAAGGAGCTTTCCTGGAGGACAAAGGTGAGGGACATGTGGATGGAAAACAGAAGGCAGGGAGAATCATCCATGCAAGGACAAAGGGAAGCCTAAGCAGAGCGGCCCGGGCCCAAGTGAGGATCAGCTGATAAGAACGGACAAGTAGGCCAATGTCAGATCGGGGCCTTGGATGCCAAGCTAAGGAGCTAAGACCTCGTCAGGTGGATCCTGGGAGGTGACAGGATTAGATCTGCTTAGGAAGGAGGAGGGCTTGGAGCAGTCAAGTGGTAGGAGACTATGGTGGAGTGGGGACTGTTGTGAGGGAGTGGCTGTCCCAGAGGCTGATGGGAACAGGGTGGGCCTGCTTGGGGCCCACCAACCCAGAGATAAGCAGGTGCTGCTGGTCCAGAGACCCACAATCTCCTGGAGATAAACACCAGAGCAGTGGTCAGGGGGCCCAGATAAGCCCTTGGCCTTTGGAATCCCTCTCTAGATTATTTACGTTCAAAATTTAACACCCAGGGCACCAGCAGGTAGAGTGGTGTTCCCTCTGGTTGTTCTGAACCCAACAGAACACGTGGCGCCCAGTGGAGCCCAGGACTCTGGCTGCTTGGGTTTGAATCCTGTTCTGCCGTTAGTGTCCTCCTGCAGGACCGGGACAGCGTTAGCACCTACCTTGCATGGTCAGCCTGTGGGTGAAGAGTTAATCCACGGAAAGCACGCAGCAGGCCTGGGTAAATGTAAGCTCTGTTAAGGAGGGAGCAGTTGGTTGGTTGTACTACTTGAAATTGAAGCTGCCCTGGTGGTAAGGAGGTGGGGGTGGGGTCATGCTCCTTTTCCTGCCCATTTCTTGGAGTAGGCCTTGATGGCACATCTGCCAGTTTGAAATCATTGGACTCTCCATTCCTGGGGTTAATTTCCACATGTATTTCCTGAACCTAAGGAGTTCAAGAAGGGTTAGCTGCTGATGCCACACCTGGGGAACAGTCTCTGGATGGAGCTTCTATTTCTTCAAAGAGAGCAAAGTGCAAGAACCTGTGGGGTATCCAGTCACCCACCACCTAAAGGCACCAGAATAATTGGGCCTAGGTCTGTGCTCCCCAGCATCAAAAGCCATGCTCAGTGTCCTGCAGGAGCAGAGGGGCAATTGTGCAGATCCTATCCTCAAACACAGACATCCCTGTTGGCCCGGGAGTAAGGGCCTTGAGGGGTTTCCCTGAGGGGAAAAAACATCTCCCCAACAGAATAGGAAGCTGTCATCCTTTTCTGCTGCATGAGATGTCCTGGAAGAAAACTACTTCATGGGACTGTTATGAGCAATAAACGAGTGAATGCAAGTTAAAGTATTTAGCAATTTAAGCATTTGGTGAACCTTTGCTTAGAGCTGTTATTTTTAGTCCATAATCCCAATTCTTCTCACACCTATTAAAGTAGGTATGGTGTTCAGTGGGTTGAGCGGGTGTTCAGAGCCCAATAAATATATAAAACTGCAGTAAAAAAAAAATTCTCTCCAAGAAAAATTCTCTGTATCCTCATATTGTGAGTAGACAAAAGATATTTCACACGTTATGACACACTATATAAGTGGGGTAAAAACTAATACTTTCTAGTTTGGTTCAAGGTCACTGCTGTCATTTCAAAGCCTGTCATTTCGACTAAGCCAGATCCTGTAGGAATTCCAGCAGTGTTACCGATGTGGCATCCATCCTAGGAGTGGAATGCTGTGCAGTTGAGGATCTTTTCAGAGAACCCTAACAAGTGAGATTTTATCACAGCATTGCTGACCCCAAATTAACAAGACAGGGGCAGCTCTACCAGCAGCCTTTAGCTTCTATTAATAAAGGTTAGCTGTTACATTAGGCAGACCAGTCTACTCTGGGGAGTAACTAGTATCTTATTAAGTTATAAATATATTTAATGGCTTTAGTACTGGTTTCTTATTTTGGAATATGAAGAAGAAAAAAGTAGAACTCATAATCACCAGAGTCTAAGTAAAAAGCCACTATTTTTTATAACGTCTATTTACCTACAATACTGCCTATGAATTGCCTTGTTTTTATAAAGCCCACACACTCCCTCACTGCGACTCTCCTGTAATTGCATCAAGCTACCTGCAATCATGTAACTGGCTTATCAGTTTGGAAGAAATTAAAAGTAGTCCAAGATTATAAAACCAAACTGTTTGGTTTTGATTCAAAGCAGTCAAACCAGTTCAGAAAAAGACTGTGAGACTTCTCTCCACCCTTACTCCCCTTCTGGTTTCTCATTAAGGGAAAAAATGCCATTTGTGCCCATGTTCATTCGCTGAACTCTAAAAATAGAACACTGACCAAGTTTTCTTTAAAGAACACAGAGTTGGAAGGGCACAGAGTCCTTATCTTTCACTTTCTGCACTGAGAAAGAACATACTTAAAACCATTTACCAAATAATGACTGTTACATCAAGTCCAAGCTTACCTCATTTCCTGTTGCTGACCTGCCAACTGGTCCATTGACTGTGGGCAAATTCTAGAGCTGCGCAGCCTCCAAGCTGCCCAGGCACGGACACTGTCTCAAGGAATGCTCTGGGGGTTTGGTGGGAAGCAGTCCCTGAACCGACTGCGGGGAAAGCTAAATAAACTGCACAGGTGTTACATGCTCCATCTGGGTAACACCCTTCACATCCCACCTCCTTCTGTTCCCAAATACAAACGAGCCACTTCATCTTTCCCTCTCCCGATAAGGAACACAGCGCTTCTCATCTTCACACCCTAGGGCTCTCCACCCCCGTGGGAGTTGTGTGGAGACCCCTGCTTCCTCGATGGGCTGGACTGCTGGTCACCAGGGACCTCAGCAGGGCACCCAGGAGGGGTGAAAGTTGGGGTCAGAGGGGTCAACATGCCACAGGGCCTGAGCTGTTTGCCCTTGGTCAGGATGGACAGACTCCACCTCAAAAAAAGGCTAGAAATGATTCTTCTGGACTTATTCCCATATAGAAAATGGCTAAGCTAGCTGAGGCAATCTGTAGTTGGCTTCAAAATCAGCAATGGGGAGGGGGAAAAAACCTCACAACAAACAGTGGTAACAGAAGGTTTGTGTGGGAAGATGGTGAAGTTTGGTCTAAAACAAGCAGTGTCTCTGGTAATGAGCCGTTGTTAGGAAATACGTGGAGCCCTCAGTGCCTACAGCACTTTTAAAGAGCACTGTTGCTGTCTCTCCAAGAGTTTTTTTGGGGGGTGAGGGGGGCTGAGCAGGGGAAGGCAAAGAGAGGTGAGGCACAGACCCACCTAAACGGCATGGGGGCATTTCAGAGCAGTGGACAAACCACCTCCATGTGTTGTAGCCATGAAGCCCTGCGCTGGAATTCCACTCCACGCCGTAGTCACTGTAGCACTTTTGGTAACACATCTACTGTCTCTGAGTCACAGCAGGCTTGTATGTGAAGTGAGTACACCTAAGGCATCAGCCAGGGGCCTGGCACGAAATAGACGGCATACTCAGCTGGGGTCACTGAGGAGTTTCAAAAAGGGACTCTTTATTTACAAAGGGCGTGAGAAGGGTTAAGGAACTCCTACAAGGACAGTGAAGCCCTCAAGGACTGGCAAAACAGGGAGTCAGGACCAATCCTCGGCCTGGAAGGACAAGGGGAGGTTGTGGCTACCAAACCCTGAAGTTGCCTGACAGGAGCTATGGCTCTTGGCAGAGGAGCCCAGCCACTGTCAAGCCACACCTGGCAGGAAGGAGCCAGGGGAGTGAATTCCCTGACTTCTCCCTCCTCTCATCCCCCATGCTCCTTCTAGCATCTCTGGCAGATCCTGACCAGAGGCCAGAAGGACAGGTCTGCAGAGGCCAGCGTCCAGAGCAAGCACAGGGCGGGGAGGGGATCTGGAGGAGCAAACGGAATATCCAGCTCACCTAAATCCCTGCCGGAGCTGGTGGGGGCTAAAAGGAGACCATCATCTGTGCCTAGCACAGCAGAGGGACATCACTACCCACTGGATCAGACTCTATTTGGCAGTTACTTATCAAAAGGCCACAATATCACTTTTATTCTCAGGTGGTAAAAGCCAGAATGAAAACAAAGACACGTGGTCATATCCCCAGAGTGAAAAACAAAACTTTTACAAAGTTGACAGATAACATTTATTAAAACATGTCATACAAAAGGGCATGGTCTCTTCTATAAGAAGAAAATATTAAACAGTAACATTCAGTTAAGTAAAACCATGCTGTACACTGAAGACAGCAATATATAAAGACGAAACTATTCAACGTTTGCAACACAGGCATAACATTTCACAAAATATCAATAAGATATGCACCTAATGATAATCTGTTTATCATCAAATGGTTTTGTGGTGTAAGAGTCACCTGACTTGCATAAATAAAGTAATTTTCTGGAAGAAACATTGGGAACCTCATAAAAGGAAAGAAGGCAGCAGCAACTGACATATGACAGGCTTCAAGCAACACTAAAAAAAAAAAAGTCACATTTGCAAAATGTTCCAGCATCTTCCCATAGGGCACTATCAGTAGAGATCTGAAGTAAGAAATATGTACCTTTAAATATATAAGTAGCAAAGAAAAAAACCTAAACAAACGAACCCTGGTTTCACTGAACAAAGTTAGTCACCCATGAAAGCAATTAAATCACAAAATTAGTGTGGCACAGATGGGGGTGGGGGTGGGGTAACACGTCGCTTGGTTTCTAGCATTCCTCAATGATCAGAGACCTTACGAAAGCAAAGACCTGGATTTGGTGTGATGGATCCGCTCCACCCTCACCCGGGGGCGCAGCAACTCCCCTTCCCCAGAGGAATCACAGCCACGCTGCCCCTGCTCCGCCTCAACTCCACTTCCGCAGCAGCCTGGGGATGTGTGTGACTCCGCAGGAAGGAGCCACTGAGACTAAGCAGCTTTCCCAATAGCCAGAGTCAGCTTAGGCTCAGTTTAGTTCAGCAAATGCCCCCTAGAATGGAGGAGACCCCTCTGGGCAGACTCTTTGAAAGTAGTAGCCAAAATAAGGGACTGGAGGAAAGTAGAATCTAGAAATCAGAATCATCAGGCTGGGGCGTTGAGTGAGTGAGTGAGGGAAACCCTCAACTCTCAAGGAAAGGCTACCACAGTCTTCCCTCAGTTAGCGGGTGATGCGTCTTTACCAAGTACATTATTGTCATGTGTGTATCTAAACTTAAAGGCATGGTATAAGTACTAATATTAATACCACTGGTGGTGCCTTGAAGCCCTTTCCCACTGGGATTGGAGAAAAACCACAGTTAAGACTCAAAGTGGGGGACGAATACCTTGGTTGTAGGCCACTGACACGATCCCTGAAAGACTGTTTGGAAAATGTTACCCACAACTATCCAAACTCTTTTGGAAGGATAAAGATTTTCTAAAGCTGTACTGAGGCTAAGGAGAGAGACCATCTATCCGACCCAGGGCGGGCAGGAAGAAAAGGTAGTAAGACAGTCCAGTCTCCTAATCCTAAAAAGCAGAGTTTATAAAAATTCACTTTTAACATCCAAACTAAGGCGATCCCCTTCCCCCACCTCTCTGCACAGGGCCAGCATCTCAGAGGCCCAAGCATCTCACAGGATCTGGGTCACCTGATCAGCAACCCAAATTTTTACGGAAACCCCAACTATCACAGAAAACAAAACAGCAGATGTGAGGAACTTACACTTTAGATCCTACATTTAGTAGCTGATGTCCATATAAGGATTTCTAAAAGATACTCCTCTCTTCACAACCCATTAAATAAGTCCCAGCACAACTGACTGCTTTCAAAACTACCAGCCAAGGGCTGCCCGCCATGCCCGGCTGAACGAGAGCGCTTCATCGTCACTCACGACGAGGTGGCCGTGCTGATTTCAGCTTCACTGCAGGACCATGATTTTTCCAGAATACTTTCATTTCACCTCTCTGACTCCTCCCCAAATGTCCCAACGCTCATCTGAATATAATTTTTAATGGGAAACAGCACATCAAACCTTCTAAACAGGCAGAAAATGGTGTGCTAACACATGGGAGAGTGTGATCAGTTTTTGGCAGAACAAAATGACTTCACTGCCCTAGTATTGAAATTACTAGGAGTAATAAAACAACTTCTCCTCAAACATAATGGCGAGGCTCAGACCTAAGCCCCACTGGCTTCTGACATGAGGAAAAGAGAAGAAGCAATGGAGCCGGACTGTGCAGCCACCTCTCCACACTCCTATCAGGGACACAGAGGAAGGACTGTCAACTGGTGAAGTTTCAACTCTAAGAGAAGAGGATATTAATGTGGCAAACAACCAAGAGGTAATATCTAGTTTCTAGGTTAAAAAATCTATCTATCTATCTATATATATATATACTTATAATAAAGTTTTAAATACAAAGTGCTTTTTATATATCAAGAATGATACAGTGTTAATGAACAGATCCCTGTTTTGTAATCTTGATTACAAGAGTTAACTGGTAAATGAGTACTTTCTTTCCCCTTTCCAGACAATGTTCAACAAGTAAATGCCTTGGTGGTTGAAGCTTGAGGATCAGAGGCCATTGCCAGCAATGTCTATCACATTAGAGCAAAGTCAAACTTTTAAAACAAAATTTCACCCCAAATCCAAGAAAAGTTTTTATTTTAAGGAACAAGTTTCCACGTGGAAGTAACAGACCAGTAAGTTTATGGAAAAGTTGACATAGTGGTAGCACCCTGTCCTAGCCTGGTGATAACTTCAGGTATATTACACAGCTCACAAGCATCCTGAATATATGCTTCCTTTTTAACCTAAAACACCTCCATCTGACTGATCTGAAGAAAAGGTCTCAGAATAGCTGCTTTTCTTGTTGTTTTTTGGTAGGTATAGCTATGTGGACTTGTAAATTTATGCAGCTTTATCTATAATTTGGGAGCATGAATCTGTAGACTACTTTCTAAAATTAGGACTCCTTCTTTCCCCTGGTGAAAACACATTACAGTACTCCTAAAGAACTGGTAGTATGAGCTCAGTGTACCCCTCTAAAACCATCTCTCCCACCAGTATATTTTCAAGACTCCTCTTTTCTTGGCCAGTTGTGTTTTTTCTTCCCCTCAAGTATAACCTGCCACTCAAAATTCTGCTACTCAGCAACTCTCACTCTGACAGTTGGAGTCTTACTGTAGCGCTCTATTATAAACTCCTGAAGTTCACAGGTAACTCTCAGATATGACTTCTGACTCCTTCCCACTAACTGTGGTCACTGAGTGGCCTCTTTGGGAAGCACCATAATCTGAGAGAAACAGCTGGAGCGCCCAACGGTACCGTGGTCAGAGTCAAAGCAGATCCCACTGTGTGGATGCTACAATTCAACAAACAGGATTTGGGACAGCAAACCAATTAGAAATACCTATCACTGGCACTCTAGAGAATTACAATTAGACACAATTGCTCAAACTAAACGTTAGTACTAAAATGCAAAACTTTGCCTCATCTAGAGTCTGAAACGCAATGTGACAGTGGCATCTTACAGAAATTGAAGCTTGTACCATAAGTTGTTTCATACTTAGAATGTAATCCTCTTAGTATCTCCATATTTAGTTAAAATACCCTTTAGAAAGAATAAAACCAGACAAGAGAGCTGTTAATCAATTTCTCATCCTAGAATCACATGATTTTTAGCTTTTACATAAGTAGCATTTCATTCAGTGAAGCAGCTACCAAAACAAATCCACGTTACCTAAGTATAGTAAGAGCAAAACGAAATTCCAACATGACCTTGTAATAATGAGTGATCACAAATTGCTGCCACCTGAAATGGAACTGGCGGGTTGGAGTCCAGTTCCCAGCCAGGTGTCTGCATCACCAAGTCCACCTGCCTCGATCACATGGGCCTCCAGGCTTACCTGGCCAGCTGTGGGGGTGGGGGGGAGGTTAACTTAACCCCATTACCCACTCCAGGCCTGGACTAGAATATACAAATTTGAGGAATTAAATTTTTTAATTGGCCTACTTAGAGCTGGTCTTTCAGAAATATCTTCCTTTTCTTTTTAAGCTTCTCTCATAATAGCAAGTAGCACGCATCATCTGTGCCCAGATTTGCATAATTACCATAGTTTATTTTTGAGCCTGCCACTCAAGGGCCAGATTCTATTTTTAGTTAGCCTCAGTCGTATTCTGCTCAGCCTTTGCAGCTTCGTAGGACTTGGTACAAGAAGTCACATGCCTGTGGAAACTGTCCCTCCACATAAATCTCTTTGCACAGATATTACACTCATACGGCTTTATGCCTGTGTGAATTTTCATGTGGCCCACGAGATGATGCTTCATTTTGAATTTCTTACCACAGACACCACAGCCATAAGGCCGAAGACCAAGGTGCATGCTCATGTGCCGATCTCTCTGACTCTTGTGAGTGAAACTTTTCCCGCACTGACAAGGATACAGCTTGTCAGTGGCTGAGAATCCTAAATGGGAAGCTTCTTCTTTAATCCCTGTTACCATTTCAATATTCTCACTGTAGCCCGCTGCTAGGGCAGCCTCCTGTCTGTGCCCAATTAGATTCCCATCCGACCTCTCTCCAGAAAACTCTTCCATGGAAGAGCCATAGAAATCCACCTGCTCGTCATAATTGCTTTCATCAGCCTGTCCGTCAAACTCTGCTTCGACTTTTTTTTCCCCGATGTGAAAGTCCTCCTCTACTCCTGAAGGCTGGACTGAGTGCTCTGTCTGCATGGTATTGATGGACTCAGTGACCTGGTGCTCGTCGTAGGGTGCATGCACATCCATGCCCTCACACGCCTGTTCAAAGCGCTCGGGCTTCACGTGGATCCAGCGTTTGTGAGCCATTATGCTGGGCTTGCTGTACATGGGCCGGGTGTAGTGGAACTCAGCGCTGTCGCTGGCCCCCTCCTCACCATCCTGGCTTGCCATTTCAGTGCTCAGCCTGTCATGCTCTGTGGATGAGTTGCTGGGAAGGTATTCGTGCTCAGTGAGCTGAGATGACAGCTCATCTTTGGTGCTCTCCTCTTCATTCTCTCCATCCCTCAGTTCTTGAGCTTTGGGGAAATCAGTATGGCCCCCAGAGCCCAGCTCAAAGCTCTCTACCAGGCCATTATAACTACTGCTGCTTGGAGACTGGTGGTCACTGCTGTGATTTAGCTTCTGACAAAGGACTGTAGGGTTTCCCTCTAAAACCTCAGTGCATTTGTCTACCACATGCCACATCTGGAGGAAGCTTGCTGCTGTTAAATAACTAACAATTTCTGGAGCAGGCATTACTAGACGTCCAGTATAACTAGACAGGAGAATGTTCTCAAACACTCTGGGGTTCATCACATCAGGCAAAACAATCCTCCTGCTGTTTTTCAGGAGTACCTGGTCACAAAAGTACGGTGAACTGGCAGCAAGAACAGCTTTGTGTGCCCGGAAAATGTGGCCTTGGACAACAATGGAGACATCACACAATTGTCCCTGCTGGCGCTGCTGGTTCAGTTTCTGCAGAATGGTGCTGGAAAAATCAGGAAATTCTACTCGAAAAGAGTTTGTTCCAGGCTCCATTTCATCACAAATCTTGTTCAGTGCTACAAGAGAAAGAAAAATTAGTACTAATTCTAGCCCAAAAGGAAGCTTATTGATCACTAAGAAAACTAAGACAAGTTCCGTAGTTCCATAAAGCCCCCTTGCCTGTGGGCGCAGTGGGTGGAGCATCCACTCCCCAGAGCAAGGGGCACAGGTGTGAGTGTGCCAAAAGCAGGAACCACCCCCATTCTTCATGGTATTAACTCTGGATTTTACCTGTGTCTGTGACTGACAGAACAGAATCCACAGAGATATTTGTAAGCTATACAAATCCTCTAAGTAAAACGAAGTAAATATTTCTAGTCAAAACAAACATGATACCTATAAAAACGACAGAATTTTCAGGAGGCCTCAGATTCAACCCAAATTTGCCACACTGGGGTGAGAAAGTGAGGATGGAAGTGTGGGAAGAAGGAAAAACATATGTAAAGGCTCTGAGGCAGGAATGAACTCAGCAACTGCAGGGAACTGACAGGAGGCACTAGGCTAGAATCCAGTGAGGGGGCAAAGGGGCTGCAGTGGTGGGGCCAGAACAATCGTGCCTTTGGTCCTTTGGCACCATGGGGGCAAACTCACTAAGGCCCCAAACAACATGCGTTTTTCTAAGTTGCAGTCAGAATTTTAGCCCATTAAGAGCTTCTGATAATGTAAAGCAGAATGAACGGCAAGCAGAATGAACCTTCTATCTGGTGGTCTCCAAACTGTTTGAGAAAGTTATAGACCAGGGGCCGGCCCGGTGGTGTAGTGGCTAAGTTTGCGTGCTCTGCTTCGGTGGCCTGGGGTTTGCAGGTTCAGATCTTGGGTGCAGGCCTACACACCGCTCATCGAGCCATGCTGTGGCAGGTGTCCCACATACAAAATAGAGAAAGACTGGCACAGATGTTAGCTCAGTGACAATCTTCCTCAAGCAAAAAGAGGAAGACTGGCTCAGCGCCAATTTTTCTCACCAAAAAAAACCTCCCCAAAATTTATAGACCAAAGAGGATAGTAAACATTGTCCCTGTTATCGAATGAACTCAATCTGAAAATAAAGTTATAACAAAGAAGAAGGGATTACCTTATTGTTACCTCATTGTTGTGTTGTTACTGTAAATAGATGTTGTGGGCTAAGTTAAGCATTAGACAATATCTATCAAGAGCAATCAACAAGATGAACTCTGCTAGAGATCCTGCTCATGTCCCATAATTCCATAGTAAATTAAAACAAACCAGAAAACCCAACAGATTTATCAGTGCTATTTGTCACCTGGCTCTAATTCTATACCCAAACACTGCTAACTACAAGGTTTTCTAACTATAAGATAAAAGAATCAGACAACCTAAACAAAGATTGAAAGTTATCTTTGAGAGATAGGGAGAAATGCCAAGAGAAGAAACTGATGTCTCTTGAGTTAATTACCGTATACTATGGACTGCTACCTTTTTTCACTTAATCTTTATAATGACTCTGCAAATGTAGGGATTGATATTCTCAAGTTTACCCATTTCAAGTAAGTTTCCTAAGACTAAAATAAAAGCTAGTTTTTATTAAGTTGGGATTTGAGCCTAAGTCTCCATGACCTCACAGACTATGCTATTTTTCCCATCACATCACACTGCCTCTTCTAAGGAGATATCAAAACACCAGATTAGTCATTAATAATTTTAAGAGGTAAGACAGTGCTTTTAGAATAAAGTATTAATTTATGGCTTACAGTTCTTAAAACATTTCATAATAACTTAAAAATAGACCAGGAAACAAATTATTTAGGTATTTATAATTTCAAAAGGAAAAGTTTTGAAATTTATGGACTAATTTACAGACTACAGGTATGTAAATTCTGAGAATTCCATCTGGGCAAACAGCTCCTCTGCTAGATCTCAGCACTGCAGAATTTCGTTTTTAGCTACTTGAAAGAAAAGGGGGGAGGGAATAATACACACATGTAAAAAAACTTAGAGAAAGCTGCATAAAAAAATCTCTCTCCACTATTTATTCCTAGTCCCTCCACCAAAGGAAATTACCATTAACAAACTCCTGTATATATTTCTAGAAACTTCTGTGTATTTTTCAGAATACATCATATATATCCTTTAAAAATTCCTACCCAAATGGGTTCATTACCTACATTTTATTCTGCACTTAGCTGTGGTCACTTAATGGCCTTGCAGATCATGTGGCATGCTATAGACTGATTGTGTGCCCCAAAATTCAGATGTTGAAACCTGTTCCCACAATGTGATGGTGCTTGGAGATGGAGGCCTTTGGGAGGTGATTAAGTCATGAGGGCAGAGCTGTCACGAATGGGATTAATGCCCTTATAAAAGGGACAACAGAAAATTCCCCTGCCCCTTTGGCCATGTGGAGGACACAGTGAAAAGACAGCTGGCTCTCTATGAACCAGGGAGCAGGTCATCACCAGATACCAAATATGTCAGTGCCTTGACCTTGGACTTCCCAGTCTCCAGAACTCTGAGAAATAAATTTCTGCTGTTTATGAGCCACCCAGTCTATGGTATTTTGTTATAGCAGCCCAAATGGACTAAAACATCACATTAGCACAAAAAGAGCTAACTCACTCTCTTTAATGGTTATACAGTTTCCTGCTAAATGGATGTATAATTGAAGCAGTTCTCTCCTTATAGAATTTCAATTATCCAGGGTTTTGAAATTATGAGCAATGCTATAATGGACATCTGTGCATAACTATCTTGGCGTATCTTTGGAAATATCCATAGGGTAATTTCTACCAGTGGAATTGCTGGGTCAAAGGGCTGTGCATTTGACATTCTGATATACATTACCAAACCACTTTCCAGAAAGGTTGTGCCAAGTCACACTCCTACCAACGGTGACAGAGTCTATTTCCCCACACCTTTACCAACACTGGGCATTATCAAACAAAAAAGAAGTCTGGAAATCTCCTAAATGAATAATCCATGATTCACTGTTGTTTCGATCAACATTTCTTTAATTCTGAATGAGACTGATACTCTTTACTCGTGTTTACTGGTTATTTTTTCTTCCTACAAATTATCAGTCATGTCCTTTGCTCAAATAAATTGGGTAATTCATCTTAGTGATTTACAGTTTTTTTAATCAATTTATAAAATTAACTAATTACTCAATCTTTGCTTTTATGGCTCCAGGGTTTTGTATTAGACACGGAAAGGCATTCCTGACTCCAAGATTATTTATAAAAAGTAAAAAAAATTATTAAGGCTTTTTTCCTGGGACCATTTTTTAAAAAGCATTTAAACTTTTAATAAGCAAGGAGTATATTTTGGCATAATGAGTAAGGTTGGGATCCAGTCCTTTTCCCTCCAAAATGGCAAGCCTATTTTTCCAACACTATTTACTGAATAACTCATCTTTTCCTCTAGATTTCAAGTATCTGTTGTGGAATTTTAAATGAGAATAAAACTTTTAAAAACAGCTCAATAAAAATAAATGCCCTAAGTGATGTTGCAGAAAATCATGGAGTAGGAAGCTCTCGGGGTCAGTCCCTCCACCAAAACAACCAGTAAGCCTTTAAAATGATCAGAAACAATTATTTTGGAACTTTGGAATCTGATCAGACACTTACAGCAACCAATGCAACTCTTGAGGAAGGGAGAGAGACTGCTGAACCTCGCTACAAGAGCAGTGTGTGCAAACTGGCTATAATCCCCACTTCTCACCCTGTGGCAGCCTGCAGGATGGTGAACCACATTCCTAGAGTGGCTGGCTTATGCCAGGGTGGACAGCAAGGACTGTGTCCTCCAAAAATTGGGGGCTTTGTATCTGGCCAGTTCTAATGAACCCACATAGCTTTGTTTTGGCCCTCTCTGGCTGCAGTGGCTTCTGAAGCAGCATCTATCACAAATTTTCAAAGACAAACATACCTTCCCCTGCTACTCCCTGGGTGAAAGCATTTAAGGAAATCTCTGTTAGGTCACAGGCTGACTGCATAGACAAAGCAACAGAAACTTCAGGACCACGTGCAACAAGGAATACAGAATATTTGGAATATTTTCCAAAACAGTTTGGAAAAATCACCATACAGACACTGCAGCTCTCAACAAGTGACAAAAGGAATCTCCTAGGAGGGGAAGAATCTAATTTCAAGAGTTACCACATTAGAATACTCAAACTGCCCAGTTCTCAAAATTACAAAGTATATAAAAAAAAGGAAAATATAGTGCATTCACAGGGAAAAAAAAATTTAGACACAATCTACCCCTGAGGAATTCCAGACCTTGGAATTACTAGTCAAAGATGTTAAATCAACTGTCTTGTATGTAGTCAAATTGCTACAAAACTATGGACAAAGAACTAAAGGAAATCAGGAGAACAATGCCAATAAAAAGATAGGAATTATAAAAATAAAAAGGAACCAAATAGAAATTCTGGAGCTGAGAAGTATAATACTTGTGTTATGGGCTTAAGTGTGTCCCCCTAAAACTCATATGTTGAAATGCTAATTCCCAATAGCCCAGAATGTGATATTTGGACACAGGGCCTTAAGAAAGGTAATTAAGTTATTGAAATGGGGTCATCAGGGGCTGGCACGGTGGCACAGTGGTTAAGCATGCACATTCCACTTCGGCAGCCCAGGGTTAGCAGGTTCGGATTCTGGCTGCGGACATGGCAGTGCCTGGCAAAGCCATGCTGTGGTAGGCATCCCCCATATAAAGTAAAGGAAGATGGGCATGGATGTTAGCTCAGGGCCAGTATTCCTCAGCAAAAAAAGAGGAGGATTGGCAGCAGTTAGCACAGGGCTAATGTCCCCGCCCCCCCCCCAAAAAAAGGAGGGGCCATTACGGCGGGCCCTAATTCAATCTGACTGGTGTTCTTATAAGAAAATTTGGACACACAGAGAGACATCAGGGATGTGTGCAATGTGAAGACACAGTGAAAAAGTGGCACCTGCAAGCCAAGGAGAAAAGTCTCAGGAAAAACCAAATCTGCTGACACCTTAATCTCTGACTTCTAGCCTCTGGAATTGTGAAAAAATATATTTTTGCTGTTTAAGCCACTTAG